ACCGCGTGATACCGCGACACGCCCACCGGGGTATGCCGCGAAATACCTCACCCATTTTGAATGGCTGCATCTGTACAGTTAACATATCTTCCACTACTCTTCCGTTTCTAGACATCAACTTCTCCATCAACTACCCCCGACTCTCCACTTCAGTTTTTTACAAACCCACGGATTCACACAGCTACTTGCTGTACAGCTCATTTTACCCCAACCACACTAAAAACTCTCTTCCTTTTTCACAGTTCCTCAGGCTACGACGATTATACAGTGACGACATAGACTTCGAGAACCAAGCCCTTGAAATGTACTCCTTTTTCATCAACAGAGGATACCCCAGCAGTGTGATTGACAGGGCCCTTGCCCAACCCAAAACTCCCCCCCGGACCATCAACCCGATCAGGAACTCCCACCGTAACAACCGCATTCCTTTGGTGCTTCCCTACCACCCTAACACACTTCCTATCCCCAGGACTATTAACCATACCTTTTCCATCCTACAGGATGATCCCTCCATTGGGGCCCTCTTTTCTGATCGTCCCATCATCTCATATCGCCGACCACCTAATCTGCGTAACCTCCTTGTTCACAGCTCTCACAGTTCACAGTTGACCGGCCTCAACAACCATCCACACCAGGCACGTTCCCTTGCAACAGAGCTCGCTGCATCACCTGCAAGTACACATCCAACACCACACTCATTCAAGGCCCCTCAGGACAATTCCGGATCACCCAGATGGTATCTTGTACCTCCAGCAACCTTATTTACTGTATCTCTTGCAGTAAATGCCCAGCCAACTACATTGGAGAAAAAGGAATGAGGAGAGAACACGTCAGGGCTGTGAAGATTAAAGATCTCTCCAAGCCCATTGTTTCTCATTTCACCTCTGACGGCCACGAGCACTCTAATCTCTCCGTCTGTGTTTTCAAAGACGGTTTTCCAAACTCATACATCAGAAAGACTACCGAAACCAAAATTATTGTGCAGCTAGGATCACACATTCTGCCTTCTCTTAACGACAGACTACTGTTCTGTTAAATTTTCTCCATTCATTGAAAGTTTCATTTCACACCTCTCTATACCCATTCTGACTTCACACCTCTTGATTGGCCTCTCTTTCTGTCCCCTGCTCCCGCCTCTCACTCCTCCTCCCTTCCAGCCTTTGTTCTCCTGCTACATTTCTTTTGCCTACTGCCTTGTCTCTCTCACACCTGAAGAAGGCTCCACAGCCGAAATGTTGTGTTTTCTTTCTTTTTTTTTCCAGCATGGAATAAACCTATTACTTGTTCCTTTGCAGCCTACGCATACTGACGCAGCTACCCACCTGAACTATTATTTTTATTGTCAGCTACCAAAAATTCCCTTAAATTACATAATTCCATATTAATATTCCATATTAAGTGGATTTAATGAAGCAAAGCAGAGAAAGATTGATGTAGTCATTTCACTAACATCTAACACACCACAAGTGCCACCTTTTGTCCGTCTTTGGCCAGTGAATCACACACTCTACCGTTACGCCACAAATGCAGTAATATGAATTAACATGTGTACTGAATGGCTGCATCTGTTAGATTTTGCTACTGTTCTTGCAATTCATCAGAACCCTTTTACAATCTCAGCGTCTAAGCCTTATATTCACATTCTTAACACATTCATATACTAGCTTTTCATTTGCTTTGGTTAATTTTTTTAGAGAGATTGAAGATTTCAGTTTCAGCCATATAAAGCTGTAGGGGTTTTGTGAATTTACTGGCATAATATTTAGTTGTAACATGAAATTGTGTGAATTTACTTTGGCTATTAGGAATCAATTGGAAGAACAACAAGGAGTCTTCAGAAGAATTTATAACACACAAAATATGTTGTATGTGTTTATTCTACTGCATACATGTTGTATATAGTTATTTATTATCATGTAAATTTTGCTTTGTTGCTGATAGGTTAAACTTTCGAAACTCGGGTCCAATGTGACAGATTATTAGCCCTGTTTCGTCGGTTAAACCAACTGATCACAAGCATTGCCGTGATAAACAGTGTCCCTTTTAATTCAGTTTGAATTTTAACTGTACGTACTATCTGAGTATTTTCCCAGGGCTTTAAAATTTTTGGTGTCATCATCTTTGTTTTAAAGGTACCCTCTTCATGGAAGAATTGTGACCTTCAACGTTTACCAAGCCTATTTTAAGCTATTTTTTTTAATTCAAGTTTATCAGTATTCATGTAAATTGTGTTATCCATGAGGGTGAACAGTGTTAAAAATACACTAGAGTGGTGCACATCTGTACTTTACACCTATTCTCAATCCTCATGATGTGAGATGAATGCAAGTACACTGATCCAGAGATTAAGCAGCTGCTTATGTGTCACCCACATGATGTCACTCAGGTGGTGTGAACCTGTGTAAATACAGTATATATTGTCTTGAACACTCCGCCAATTGTATTTTTGCTGGCTGCATTAAGTGAGTTAAATTGAAAACTAGTATCATCCTAAATTAAGATGTGCTGTTCTCCACATTGGTGAGGTTCAGATGCACGAATTAAAAATATTTAGACTGATTTACTGTATTTACATCAGTACATGATCCTTGATGATTGCTATTTCTAGTCATTTTTCACAGTTGGGAATTGGTATAACATATTTGGATGGACTCCAGATTCAAATTCCCTTTCCAAGAACATTTTCAAGTCTATTTACGCAGTTCAATATTAAGTTCACCAAAAGGGTGGATAAAAAACACTCTTTACAAATTTGGGGGAACAATGTGTTTTACACCACCCTGTTACTCTGGCAAAGCCAAGCAATTCTGTTTATAGTACCCTCATCTGTGGCATGCCTGTGATTCATAGCACCTCTCCTCCACAGGTTCATGGAGCCAGACCCCAGTCACACTCTGGAGGAACGAGTAGTTCACTGGTACTTTGGGCAGCTAGACAACAATGGCAGCAGTGACATAAACAAAAAGGAGTTGAAACCTTTCAAGCGCTATGTCAAGAAGAAAGCCAAACCTAAAAAATGTGCACGAAAGTTCACAGATTACTGTGATTTGAACAACGACAAGGCCATCTCTCTGCTGGAGCTGAAGGGGTGCTTGGGTGTCAGTCGGGATGGAGGTGAGCATATTTCTTCTTCATGTGTAAAGCAAATGATTGAAAGTAGATTTCAATCACCATCTAATTATATCTTGCTTTTTAGAGTCTCATATTGTCTAAGAAATACAGTTCCTTCCAAATGTATTCACCCACTTCCAATGATTTACAATTTGAATTACAAATGATATACAGTACACATATTTCTCAAACTGAATATGTTTTAATCAAAACTTGAATGCTGAAACTGAACAGTTTTGGGGTTTACTTTAACAGTATAATCAACAACAATGCCAAGATTTTTTAACTGTTGAGAATTTCAAATTCTTGTTCCTCAGTTTTTTATATTTTATTTATAACCATTAACAAAACACAAACATCATTAATTGGCATTTAATGAAGCAAAATATTGTATACATACTGTAGTGTGCTCTCACGAGGCACCAGTTCTGTAGGGGTTTGGGCATTTACTGGGACAATTATTAATTGTAGCAGTAAATCACAAAATTGATTCTTTTGATGGCTTTAGAATCCAACCATGCGATATAACTCAAACAACGCACACACACAGGTACTAATACACAAGTATACATTTATTAAT